ACACGCTCGCTCGAGCGAAGGATTGGTCGCTCGAGCGACCAGACACAGAAAACTCTCGCTCGAGCCAAGAAGTTCTCGATCGAGCGAAGAAAAACCCAGACCGCTCGAGCCACGAAAAGCTCGCTCGAGCCAGAAACTACAACTCTCAGGTCCAGAACCGGGGCAACACTACTCTCGCTCGAGCGACAACCTCCTCGCTCGAGCGAAGGACCAAAAATCTGGGCAGCAACACTAGGCTCCCAAACGCAACCAACCTGTAACAAACCTGCCCAACACATCCCATAACTCAAAATACAAAGTAAAGAGGATGCAAACTAGAAAATAAACAACTACCAACATTCACGGACACATGTCCGGATCATTGTACAACAAGGGTAAACCCGGGATCGCTATACTTATTACCTGAATCAATGAGAGAATACTAAAGTCATGTTTTCAATTAAGATAAAAATGAGAGAATACTAAAGTCATGTTTTCAACAGTAAATAATAATACTGAATTGGTTAAAGTCATGTTTGAAAAATACTTTTCTTTTCCATTATTGATCTATTTATTTTTATTTTTTCTTTTTTTGTGTGAGAGTTTCCTTATCATTGAGTGTTGCTCATACTGTCTATTCTTTGATGACCTCTTTTACGGGTTGATATGGCTTTGTATGACTCGAGAATTTTTTGTCTTTGCCCTTCTCAATAAAGCTAATTTATAAGCAAAATTTATGCACCAAGTTGAAGACATTGTGAAATTTTCTTGTGCTCATACAGGTTGTGTCTGAGACAAAAGCACATGAAATACAATTATAATTAAGAAAAATTAAATGCAAGCCAAAAATATGAAACCGGGGTTCAATGAAAAAACCTCAATCACGAACTATAAGCATTTGTCTGTATACTCTCACAGCATCCTTGTCGTCATTCAAAACTGTAATCACCCGTTTCTTTTCACCTTCTCCTGATCCAAAAAGTAAATACACTAAGTCAGAAAATTATCCTTCTATCTTCGTAGTTACAGTTATGACAACAAAAAAAGGATGTAACAATCCTTAAAAATGAAACTACACAATTGACTAAATCAATGTATTTCTCGATCACTTCGAGGAAGACTCATCAATATGAGTGAAGAAAATTATACACCTATAGGAAGAAAAAGGAAGTTGAGCATTCAACAACTTAAAATAAATAAATAAATAAAACAATCAGATGAAAAAACAAATGGATAGCTCATTCACACATGAAAGAGAGAGAGAAAATAAAAAAATAAAAAAATAAAAAGAATAAGAAAATGGATAGCTCATTCCTAACAGAAAGGGTTACAGAGCTGATAGACAATTTCCTTGGCCATGGAGTTTGAGGACTTAGAGAAAGTTCTTTGAACTCTAACATCAAAGACTATCTAAATCTATGAAATTTTAATTTCCCAACTGTACTTCGATGTTAATTAAAACACAAACCCTCATTGCATTTCTATGTCCATACACTTCTTACAGAATTGGATAAAGAAATAACACTCAAATTAAGGGTCATCCCAACAATAAGGAACCCAAGAACTACACCTATATATAGCTTTCAATTTCTTGCAATCTCAATCCCATGTTCCTTCCAACCTGATCAGTATTCCTTGTACCAACTTCAGCTTAAAGCCTGGCTAGCACCACTTACGTTCAGTTAAAAATTGAACCCAACAGTTAAAAATACTTTTCTTTTCCATTGAACCCAGCAGTTAAAAATACTTTTCCATATAACTATAGAATTTGAATTTGAACTCAATAACTATAGAATTTCTGATTTGCAGAATTTCTTTTGAACCCAGCAGTTAAGAATTTCTTTTGATTTGCAGAATTTCTTTTCCATACATCTATATCATCCAAATAACTCAATAACTCAATATATATATCATTCAAATAACTCAATATGTATCATTCAAATCTGCACAAACCCGTGTAATCCAAATCTGCACACACCCAATACAAAATCCAAACCGTGCTCGTGCCTCTCAACCTTCCACTCAATAACTTAATACGTATAAACTTTGAATAAGAGATAAAGAGAGATTATTATAATAAATGGAAATAAAAAAAAAATCGAACTTTGAATAATGTTAGGATTAGAGAGATACAAACCAGAAATCGAGATGCAGAAATCGAACTTTGAATGAACACATTTGCTACAGAATAAAACCCAAGTTTCCATTACAATCTGAACCCAATAGATACTTTTCCATTACAAATAGTTTTCCATTTTAAAAATCAAACAGAGGAGAAAGGGAAATCGTAAAAAATAGAGCAGGGAAAAGGGGGAGAGACAGAAATGGAGAACATCTTACCTTGCGAGCCGAGCGAAATCGAACCCTTGCGAGTAGTGATGATGAGCAGCAGCGAAAGCAAAAATCGACTACCCTAAGGCAGCAAAAAAAATATTTCAATAACAGAGGAGAGAGGGAACCTTGCGACTGGTGATGATGAGCAGCGTCTTACCTTGCGAGACGAGCGAAATCGAACCCTTGTGAGTGGTGATGATGAGCAGCGGCGAAGGACAAGGAGGGAGAAGCAGAAAAAAGAAGAATAGAGAGGGAGAAAGAGATAAAGAGGGAAGGCTGAGAGAGACGTCGGTAGGTGGAAGGCTGAGGGAGAGAGATATTTGAGCAGGAATATATCTCACATTTTCAAAAATCTTTGTCCATTATTATGATCTGTACCATTAATATATTCTTAGAATTGATCTTAGCCATTGGATCAAAATGTATCTCACATACATTTTGATACATTTTTCAAAAACCTTTGTGTCTTATTATATAGATATACACATGGTACATGGTGGTAGTACAAGAGATTGAAATGAAATGCAACTTTACATGTGAGCTGTTAAATTGTCAATAGGCCTAAAGGTACAAATGATGCTTAAATGTCATCTAAGCAAATTCTGACTCTTTCTATTTCATAATTAATGGTTATAAAAATTTCACAAAATTCATCAAGAAGGCACTCCATTAAAAAAAAAATTTAATTAATTAATTAATTAATGTGGACGAATTAGAATCATATGATAAATTAATTTTTGAAATATGTTGCCGGTCGAGGTTGATATAATCACTGTTGTAATCCCTTACTGAGTATAATGGCCAAGTTCAAGTGTTACTGTTGCCCTAAGTTCTCTTTCTTCTATTCCCTTCCTAGAACAATTGAGAGAGAGAGAGAGAGAGAGAGAGAGAGAGAGAGAGAGAGAGAAATGTGTTGCTAGTTGATTTGGTGATTCGAGTTGGGTTGTAGGTGCCAATGGCCACGGGAGTTGTGGATCATTACTGGCAAAAGAGCTAGATATCATTCTAACCTACAAAGAAATTCTTGAATCCTCAAGAAAGTCTTGAATCCACAAGAACGGATAAGTATTATTATGACTTAGATACTTGATAAGTTACAACCTTCATATAATCAACTAATCATATTCCTAATAAGAACCCCCCCCCAAAAAAAAAAAAAAAAAATCAACAAATAAAAAAGTCAACTTTGCTACAATCACACCCATTTACACTATGGGTGTGTGTTTGGAAATGTAAATGGTGTGTGCCTATCTTTTTTCAAAATAAAATAAAATAAAATAAAAAATATCAAAGATAGAAAATTCAAGTTCAATTCAAAGTTGGATAATGTAAAGTAGTATAAACATGCCAAAACAAATGGCATAAAAAATTGTAAACATTTGAATAAAGTTATACCCAAATTTTAAAAAAGCAAAGAAAAAATGAAAAAAATCGCATACATTTAGAATCCTAGACAATGAAATTTTGTCAAACAGAAACTTAGGATGATAGCAAATAAGTGAGTTTTGCACATTAGGGTGAGATTAAAGCAATTTTGAGCTCGTTTACCAAAATTATGTTTTCACCCATGGATCTTCTTTTTGACTTCTGTTAATCCAATTATTCCATAAACTTTGATGTGATTTGAGAACACGATTATAAGCTGCGTTTTTTCTACTTGTGAAAAAGCCAAAAGCTAGCTTCTTTGGCTAGAAACTCATTAGGTAATGTGGTTAAAAGCCGATTGTGAAATTACAAAAATACCCTCCATGTTCTTTAGGGTTATTCTATTGTTCATACGTTTATGATGATTCATCAAATTTGTGGTTTTTGGAATCAATTTTTCGATCTTGTACATGTCTCATGTTTGGGCATTTTTAGGGTCAACCGATGATTTGGGTGTCTCTGCTTTTGACATTTCATATTTTTCTTTTTCGGTTTTCCTATTAATTTCGACATTCCTCCCATTTCATTTTTTTCTTTTTCGGTTTTCCTATTAATTTCGACATACCTCCCATTTTCATTCACTGTCACGTGGATACATTACAAAAAAGAATTAACAGTAAGGCCTACTCTGTAAATCCGTGAAAGTTATTGCTTGAACATAAGGCAGATCTGAAAGGTAGACTTCCAGATTAGCCTTTACATGCTGCACAATTTGTTGAAAAAGCCTGCAGTTAGACCACAAAACATCCCTCTATGGCTAATTGTTCTATATAAAAGAGTTGTTACTTGGGTATTTTAAAAGAGAAAAAAGGAGTGTCAAGTCAAACAACCTACTATTCAAGTTAATTTGTCTAATTTATTATCCTAATATCAGTTTTATATATAGGAAACCTAGTATTCAACTAATTTACAATGATAATTAGTTCTATAAATTAGAGAGTTCTCAAAAGAACTAAGGCCATGTTTGTTTCGCAGTTTGAGTGGTCGGATTGGACTACTATGATTGTGGATCCCATCCATAGCATGTTTTGTAATGAAATGGGAGGACAGATTGATGGTTCAAAAGACTTAGTAATCATACTTAGTAGGGGTATTAGCTTGGCAGAGTTTTGGATGGGATCAGGAAAATAGTGGGGGTATTGAGTCTATTTTATATAAAAAAATTTAGTTTTTTAATTTTATTTTTTTTATCAAGTGCACCTATTTGTTTTAATTTTTTTAATATAAAAAATAATTTATTTATTTATTTATTTATTATAAAAATAATTTAACAATATTATCACTAATCATCTCCCATACTAGCATGAAAACAAACACACTTTTCCCACATTAATAATCTCTTCACTAATCATCCTCTCATTAACAATCTCATCCCACCTAATCACCAAACAAACGTGGCCTAATTCTCTAATCGATTGCCTCTCCCTCTCCATGTCTCTCAAGAGCTTGTCTAATTGAGAGTGACTTTGAATTTCAAATTTACCTCAGTATGAATATTTTTAAAATGGTTGAATTGGGTTTGGCATTTGAAGTACACATCTAACTCCAATTGACGGTCGATTATTTCTATAATTTGTAAATATAATCATAAATATTAACAATTGAAATAAAAAAATTTAATTCCAATATACATGTACTATATGATTCCTTTCATATGTCATTTCACAGTGGATTATTTTGTTTCCATGTACCATAAAAGTTGGGCAAGTGCTAAGGTGAGTGAGATTTTAAGTTTGAATTTGGAGAGACTTTGGCCTTTATTATAATCTAATTAGTAATATACTAACCGCTACCTTGAGAAAAGGAATTTAAAAAAAAAAGTGAAAAAGTGTGGAGGTTCTTTTGACAGAAAAGCAAGTGCAGAGAGTCTTTTATGAAGTGCAACAACACTACAAACCCAGTTTTGTAAACAGAATCATAAATATTAAAAATTGAAACAAAAAATTTTAATTCTAATATACATGTACTATATGATTCCTTTCATATGTCATTTCACAGTGGATTATTTTGTTTCCAAGTACCATAAAAGTTGGGCAAGTGCTAAGGTGAGTGAGATTTTAAGTTTGAATTTGGAGAGACTTTGGCCTTTATTATAATCTAATTAGTAATATATTAACCGCTATCTTGAGAAAGGAATTTTAAAAAAAAAAGTGAAAAAGTGTGGAGGTTCTTTTGACAGAAAAGCAAGTGCAGAGAGTCTTTTATGAAGTGCAATA